CCTTCAAGCTTGTTGAATGAAAGGTCAAGCTCTTCAAGACTAGTACAAGCCTGTCCTAACTCGGGAGGGATTTCACCAGTGAACTGATTATGGGATAGAGATAGATGCCGCAAATTCTTGAGATTTCCCAACAAGGAACCCGGAATATTGTTTTTCAGGCCCATATGGGACAAGTCAAACACCTCAAGAAGTGTACAGCTAGCCAGACTGGTCGGGAACTGGGTATCAGAAAGGTTGTTCCCAGATAACTTGAGCACGGTGAGGTTGCGGCAGCACCTGAAGTTGAGGAAGGAGAACTCACCGGAGAAGTTGTTGAATGAGAGATCAAGATGCTTGAGATTGAGAGAGTCAGCCACAAAAGAAGGCGGTATCTCCCCGGATAACAAATTGTATGAGAGATCAAGAATTGAAAAATTCTTGCAAGAAATGGAAGTCACACTGAGCTTCCCGCCGAGCTTGTTATCAGAAAAATTGAGCAGATTCAAGTTCTGGCAACTAGAAAGAGAGTAAGCCAAGAGGGCTGAATCAGAAATCTTATTGCGAGAAAGGTCAAGCTGCAGCAAAGAAAGACCAAAAGGTATCCTACCCCCAGCCCCAGGAATTGAATTGCGAGACATATTAACATAAGCCAGACGATCGCAAGAAGAGAAGAAGGATTGCCCTTGGCCCGGGAAGGCATCGGAGAAGTTATTGGAAGACAAGTCGAGGGTTTCGAGCATGCAGGAGGACGAGGCAGAGAGATCCCCGGCGGAAAAGGAATTCCCTTGCAAATAGAGACCGCGGAGGGCGGACATGGCGGTGAGATTAGGGAGGTGCAGGCTCCCAACAAGACCCGCATAGCTGAGGTCGAGAGTGGAAACACGGCCATCAGGAGAGCAAGTGACTCCATGCCAGGAACAGGGGCTGGAAGAAGTATCAGTCCAGTTAACCAAGACAGCATGACGATCTGAGGTAACAGAGAATTTCTTGAAAGCCATCAACATGAGCACATCATCATTGGCTTGTGTCCAAGTGAGGACTAGGAGCAGCAGAAACAAAGTAAAGATGCCGTGTTGCAGCACTTGTACCCTCCATAATCTCTTCATTTTTTTTTTTTTTT